CCCCAGCAATTTTTGGAATAAAGAAGAAAAAAAATTCGAGCAAGGGATTATTTAAAAAAAAAATAACCGACACAGCAAAACATTTTGAAAAAAAAATCGTGCACGTTGAAAATGGACCACCCCCCCATCACTTTTCTAATGGTCCGCCCCTTAGTCGTTCAAAACAATTTTAATCGTTTTGACGTGTCTTTAGTTACCCCATTAATGTAGACAATTTGACATTAATACAATTATGCAGTCATCCGGAGCGACAAAAAGTTGACTTTTGTTCTAAGTGGTTACCTCAGAGGTTTCGGCCTGGGTTGCGCTCAAGGCAAAATGTCCCTCTTCGCTCAATCGCAAACGAGGTATCATTAGGCCGGGTATCATTGGGCCTACTGCAATACCACCAGTAGAAAGTTTACAGGTCAGCCGTTGTGGCGTGATTCCTAATTTATCCGTCCCCTTTGGCGGTGGCGTCGCCAGGTTGTTCATACTGGGGGGGGGACGAGTCGAGTGCCAAAGGCGCGAGACACCTAGGGGGGTTGGGGGGCATGCCCCCCCGAAAAAAATTTTGTTTGTAGAGTCTCTAAAACGCTATTTCCCGCATTTTCAGGCAAGTTTTATGATAATCTGAAAGCCAAACATCGGCGATTTTTGTTACAAACTAACAGTTTTTACAAGGGCAACTTTCTGTTGCTAGCTAATCTAAATGTGTCAACAAGAGTATCCAATTCAATCTTATCTGCAATGTCTCTTTCTATGCTGATATGAACCAAATTTTCTAGACGTTCATCGGACATCGACGCTCGAAGGTAATTATTTATTATCTTCACTTTGCTATGTGCTCGTTCACAGGAAGCAACTGTTGCAGGAAGTGTAGCGACAATTTTTACCACCTCAAACAGATCAGGATACAGGTTGCTGATTGAATTTTCTCCAAAAACCTTTAAAAGAGTTGGCAGACAAAGCCAAGTCTCGGGTGCTTTCGTCAAGGGATCGTTGTTAGCTTTCTCTTTCATCTTAAGAAAATCTTCGTACTTCTCTTTCCAGACTTTAACCACATGAGACTTAGAAAACAGAATGAACTGATTTACGACAACATCGGGATCGATTCCGTAGAATTTGGCCAGCTTTTGGGCTTGGTGCCAATTTTCTTCTTTAAAATATGTGGGATGAAAAACGTTGGCCAGCGACAATATTTCACATGCTTTAGAAGAGAACCTCCTCTCCAGCTCATTGTGCATCCAGTCCAAAAATGGGAAGAAAAAATCTCGCTTAAAGAGATCTCTTGGGCGGTCATTACCAGGTACTTCTTCTTGGATTGCTCTGGCGTCTTGGTCTAAATAGAATGTACCATCGTTGAAGTAGGAAGGAATTGTGCGCGGACGCTTTGGTCTGTTTGGATGTTGCTGATCCACCAGATCGAAGTCGTCCACAACCAATCCTTGGTCCGTGCAATATTTCCGTGCCTGCTGCAGAAACTGATCCATCTTTTCCTCGTTTCGAAAGGAGGACAAAGAATCTTTCAGAGATTGCACACCTGACACCGCTGAAACCAAGTCCATGTTTTCGTGCTGAAGATATTCTGAGACCGATCTACTTAGAGCAAAACACTTCTTCAATACGATACACGAAGCAATGAACTTGAGCTTTCGCATACGTACGAGCAATCCATCTGCAGCTGATTCGCCCTCTTTAGACATTGCTTTAAGCATCGATATGATAGCAGGCAAGGTGTTGAAAACAACCTCCAAATTGTCGGATCGAGCAGTCCATCTTGTGTCTGAAAGCGTGTGTAATGCTATCTTTCCCTTCGATATGCCATGAAGTTGTAGCTTCTCCTCATACAATGCATGCCTCTTCGGAGACCCTTCGAGATAGTGATAGACGGAACCAATAATATCAAAGACGTCATTCACAGAAGGTACGTTGTTAACACTCTTCTCTAAGACAAGGTTTAGTTTGTGTGCAAAACAATGGAAATATATCGATTTATCAGCACCAGCTGCGGTGAGATGTTGTTGAACACCTTCGTCCTTGCCTGACATGTTACTTGCCCCATCAAAGCCTTTACCAACTAAATTGCGGATAGGAAAGTTCATGTTCGCAAGAATAGCAATGATAACAGCTGCAAGGCTTTGTCCTGTTAAATTAGTCACACGATGTAGCTTGATACACCTTTCCCAAATACAATAATCGTAGACATACCGAACAATAACAGACATAAATGCCCGTTTGTGGGATGTTACTTCGTCACATTCAATTGAGAAATACTTGGCAGAAATCACTTCAGATCTTATTATTTCAATGATCATATTGCTGAGGATGCCAATTATTTCATTCTGAATACTGGGAGAAAAATATGACAAATTCTTTGGGTGAGTTTCCATCCAACGTTTCAATGGCTTGTCATACTTAGATAGAAACAAAAGTTCTTCCAGGAAGTTTCCATGATTGGCTGAATCATTTGTCTCGTTGTGTCCACGGAACGCGGTATTTTGCTTCGCCAAATGTCGGACTACATCAAAAATCGTCTGGACAATCTGTCGATTTTCTTCTCGTTCTTGTTCTTTTCTTGTCTTCGAAGCTTCAGCTATGCCAACAAGTTGCACATCAATATGTTGGTTCTCACTTTTAAAGTTCTGCATGCGCTCCATTGATAGAATATGCATTTGCGTTTTAGCATGATTAGCCAGTTTTCCACTTTCGCCAGAAGCTTTTTTCCATGTACGAAAGCCTGTCTTTGTGAATGTTTCTTCTGAGCTTCCAACTAAAGTTAAGTTTTAGGTCTAAATTATACTCCATCGATAAATTACGCAAATCGTTTTGTGTGGCGAAATATGAGTGGCGAAAAGAGCGGTTTTCTGACAGTCAGACTAGAATGAACTGAGTTTGAAATGTGACTATTGCATATAGTAACTTGAGGTATGATAAGCCCAAAATAGCCGATTGCCGGGAGGTATACAGATAGTGTCAAAACCGCTGCATATATGTTTTAAAAAATCCTATTAGGATATTGCCGGAAGGTAGAAATAGTGTTAATTTACTGTCAAAACCGCTTCTTGGTTTTATTAAGCCTTTTGTCTAGTAGGCGCAAAAGGATGTTGCTCGTTATTAATCCCAATTTATTAAATTTAATAAATTGAAACTTTATTTATTTATTTACCTTCGCCAGTTATATAAATACGTACGGAATAATACGGTAGATAACATATTGGCACATCCTACCCTAGTAGTCCAACTTACTCAGTCGCTGTTGCGATATTACATACTGTATATGCATAACAAGGGCAAATAATGTTAGCCAATCAGCGCGTTTGTTTACATTTTGCGTTCTTGACCAATCAGAATGCCTGAAATTCGAACATGTAAACAAAAGGAGTGAGAAAATAACACCTTGTTCTACGCCCTCGGTGACATTCGATATTAAACTTTTTTCGCCCAAACTGACAAATTCTGCTAAAGCATGCTTTCTTCTTTAATTTCCTCGGGGGGATTTTTAAAATTCGATCTAGATCGCGAAATATTTATGTTTGAATAACAGTGTTTCGACGCGCGTAAAATAGCAGACTCTCACTTGCACTATCTTTACACACAGTCACACACATAAAAAATTGGTAGATTTGGCAGTTTAAACTTATTTTCCCCACACCACAGCTGACATGTTTTTAAATATTACCTATCTGATCTCATCGATCTCATTTCGCATCGGAAATGCATCACAACGATCCAGGACTGACAGGTACAATATCGCATGACTCATTACTGTACATTAAAAGTACCCGGTTGGCGAAATGGCGATTGTCTGACCACAGTTAATAGCTGACAGACCTTCGCGAAGAGCTTAATATTTTTGCTAATAAACTGTTCA